TCGATTCTTCAGTACAACGTGGGTTAACTCACAGAAACGTCCATGTCCCCTGGCCTTCATGTAATGTAATAATGTCATGGTTAGTTTCCAGGGAGAGAATCGAAGGGTTCTCTGTTATCTGTGTACCCTTCGATTCTCTTCCTCTATTCTCCTGCCAGGATTTGCATTTTTTGCGGTACGATCCAACCAAAATCCCCGAGCTCCGAGATGTAGGATATTCTAAAGAGGAGGGAAAATGAAAATGAGCATCACCTTCCTTTTAATCTATGAAGCCTATTCTTCCCTGCAGTGATGTATAACACACTGCTCTCTCTCTGTGTCTCTCTCTCTCTCTCTCTCTCTTTCTTACTGTAATAAATAGCCCTGTATTTTTCACCTAGCCGTGTTACACTCAGAGCTACATGTTCCCCCGTGGCAGTAATTAGTGGCTGGGTTGAAAGAGTGGAACACCGCTGCTTTAGGAGTGTGTGTATAAATTACGCAGTCCCGTATCTACGCTCGAGTTTTTACTCCTGATTTTCCCAGTCCTGGGATTAGCAGAGGCATCTGTTTGTCATGGTCAGAGCTGCAGAGCTGGATAGTGAGGACACAAGAGGTCCAGAGGTTGAGTCATAATCACAGTGTCGCAATGCACGAGACTCTCTTCACTCTCGGGAAACCTTAAAGGAAATCACTGGTCCATGTTACAGTGTCTTCCAAAATGCCATAGGTCTTATGGAGGGCTTGGAACGTTGGACCCGTGGCCTTAAGATCAAAAAACGACTAGGTTTCTAATGTCGCTAGCAGAGTTAGGGACAGTCTGCCTGCAAACTTTCAGAAAGATGTTTTTCCAAAAAAAAAAAATAATAATAATAAAAAATAAAAATAAAATACATTTGATAAAATATATATAATTAAAATATATATGTATATTTATATGTATGTATGTATGTATAAATATATATAAATATATATATATGTATATTTATATGTATGTATAAATATATATATATATGTATATATATATATATATTATATATGTTCCTGGTCACAGTTGTCTGATTCTCCTTGATTCCCGACATCAACAGATCTGAGCTAGTAATTGTCCACCAATAAAATAAATGTTCTCCCCGTCTTCTTCCTCCCCAAATAGCAGCATCATCTTACCGCAGACGCCCGGTTTTACTGTTTGACTCAATCCCTGATTGTTCTCAGGTCAGGAGATCTGGATGTTGTTTCTTCTAAGAGATGTTCCTCTAGCCCACACTCAACGCCATGTACGATGCTAACTCTAACTTGAATAACTGACGATCAATTGCAGAAACATGTGTTATTTTTGGTATGGAGTAGTTACTGCTATACAGTCTCACAGTTACCACCGACCTTTCGAGGAGATCTTGATCTTGACCCCCCCGCCCCAGTGAAAATGGATTTGACAACCGTGCTTTAGCTCATCCATCAAAACAG